GGGGGGGGGATGGGGAAGCCACGCCAGTGGCTGCGGCCCCTGCCCCCTCCCCTGCCCCGGCATCGGGCTCTGGCGCGCCGCTCCGGGAGAGCCCACTCGCTCCCCCTGGCTCCCAGTGCAGCTGGGACTTTGCAAACTTTGTAACTCCCGAGGGCGAGAGGACAGAGCTGGAGATCTCGGGCGGGCGCCCAGTCTTCCCCGAGCTCCTAACGGAGATGCCCACCCGGCACCCCGGGGGAGGGAGGGGGCGCTACGTCTGTCCCCGGGGGTGGGGGCCCGCGGGGGTCGGGGCGGCCGCGGGAGGGCTCACTCACTGTTGCACGAATTCATCCGCTGCATCCACGGGTAGACCGGAGTGGAGCACTTCTGCTCTTCGGCCTCGCCGAACACGCTCTTGTCCTGCGCACAGTCGGACTTCCGCGGCTCGGGGTGGAACCGGGGCGGCTCTTCGGCGCCCGAGAGCGCGCAGGCCGACTCCTTCTCGCGGTAGAAGGCCGGCGCCGGCCCGTAGTCGCAGGGCGCCGCTCGGCCGTAGCCGCCGCCAGCAGGCGGGTAATAGGAGGAAGCCGCAAAGCCCTTGTCCTGGCCGGGCCCGGGCCCGTAGGGCGCGGGGTAGTGCCTCAGCGGGTCCGCATAGCCCGACGAGTAGAGCGGCAGCTGGCCCAGGAAGGACTCCTGCCCGCTGGCCAGAGTGACGGGGAAGGTGGAGTTCACGAAATAGGAACTCATTGGGAGGGGAGGCGCGCTCGGCCGCTGCTGCTCCGCCGGGTTTATGATTTGTTGTGTTTTATAGTCCGAGCGCCGCGCCTATTAGTAGTATATCTGAGATTGGGTTTTAGCTGAGGGGGGATGGCGAGGTGCCAGTGAGGGCCAGAAGGAAATACAACCATCTGATCCAACACTGACCAATGGCAGAGGCAGGAATTGTCAAATAGCACCCAGGAGGAGCGCAGCCCGCGCGAGGGACCCGCGCACAAACCTATCAACCTTTTTTTTTCCTCCTTCTTCTCCTTCTCCTTTCTCTCTCTCTCTCTCTCTCTCTCCCCGACAACACAACGCGTCCTGTTCCACCTACGCAGGATCTGCGAAAGAGGCGGCTGTGCCTTTGAGGGAGGAGGGAGCGTTTGGATTGAGACCACCCCATCCCCCAGTGATTAAATAAATATAGCCCTCCCCTCCCCACGCAGGATAGGAAAAAGTTAATTGTGTTTTCAGAAAAGTTAACCCCTGCGTTGCTTGAGCCCCATTCCCTCAAGGGAAGGGTGCGTAAATGTCCCTCTCCGTGTGGTGAGGTGAGACCTAAAGGAAAAAGGGTTGTGTCTAGGGTTTTGTGTGGGTAGACCAGGAGCAGAGTTCACTATTTAGCATTTTCAGAAGGAGAGGCGAAGAAGAAGAAACTCTCCCCTCCCCAGGTTTTGAAAACTGGTTTTTCCTATTTCTCAGGTCTACCCTGCCTCCTCCAAGCCTGGGTTTATTATTCCTGCTGCTTCTCAGCTCTTATGGTCTGAAGGGCAGGCCAGAGCCTGCTGCCCAGAGGACCCAGCAGGCTGGGAAATGGGAGGAGGGTCTGAGCCCAAGCTTCCCCCTCTGGCTCTGTGGCCAGGTTAGGCTAGGCTAGGAGCTTCCTAGAAGGCTCTGCTACCTCTGCTGCCCAAGACATCCTGTCTGGTTTGAGCAAGTGCTGCTTGCTCCTTGGCACAGGAAGGGGCACTGGGGAAAGGGACTCACCTTCTCTTCGCTTGCGCGGTAGGGAGAGGAGGAGTGAGGGGCGTTGCCCAGCCTAGGTTGTCTGATCCCTATCCTGCCTGTAACCCTCACTCCATCCCCACCCTCTACCCCCCAAATTATTAGAATATCCTGGGCTACAGAGTCTCAGGAATCAAGGATGTCTCAGGACGTCTGGGCCCAGGGAAGAAATTGTTCTTCCTCCAATTCCGGGTCCTCAAAACCTCCTGATATTTGAGGCAATCAAAGACAACCGGAAAGAGAGGGGCCCTTGCTCCTTTACCAGGTCTCTCCAGAAGCTGGCAGTTCTTTTTAAAATGAATTCTTTCCCAAGACTTGGTTTGGATTTAGTTTTCTAAGGAGGGAGAGGTGTCTGCATCCTCCTGGGGACCCAGCAGGCAGCTTACAACTATCAGCCCGAATCCCCTCTCCAGATGCTCACCACCCTCCTGTCTGTCTCTCAGCATCTCTCCAGTCCCTCCCACACCTCATATTTGTATCACCAGCTTTGCTGCTGCACAAGCTTGGGTGTGAGAAAGAGTGCTCGTTTCCATTCATTTCTCTCTCTCTCTCTCTCTCTCTCATCTAAGGAAAATGAGCACTGAAGCCAGGCTGGAAGACTGAACCACAATGTGTTTTCAACATTCTAACTAGGCACGTGGAGGCCAGGCAGTAAAGGGTGATAACCTTCAGACCTGGGTTCTGGAATGAGCCAGGATGCGTGACAAAATCTGATGATAAAGGGGCCAGGCTGACTCTCCTCTGCCTTGTTCTTTGGGCTCCTTTTTGTGGGCCAGATTTGTCCACTGCAGATGGCACAAGACACTAGGGAAAGCGGTAGAGGGCTGAGGTTGGCGACCAAGGGCAGGAACGTGGTTGGCTGCAAAGTGGCCTACAAGGCTCCCTGAATTCAGGACAACTTCTAGGCTATACCCTCACGGCCGAGTGGTGATCCCTGCACGTCCCACCAACCACTTCCTAGCCAAACTCTAGCGGGAGGTTTATCAAGGTTTAAGAAAACTCAAGCCTGCTAATGATGAAGAATCCTACGTGCCCCAGTCTGGCAGTGATTGGGCCCACTCCTAGAGAGGAATAGGGAACATTTGGTCTGGGGGAGCAAGGTCAGGAGAGTGTCTGTATGCACCTCCCTCCTCCCTGCCACTGAGGCTGGGCCTTGGGCCACATCCGTTCTGCCTCCTCCCTGGCCACAATGTCCCCTTCCTAGAACTGGACGATGTGGACTTTGCTGTAGAGTCTGGACTAAGTAGGTTGCCATAAGGCAGGGAGACTTCCCTGTGATAGAAGTACGAAAATAACTGCCTTATCCTTAAAGTCACGGCCCCAAATTAACCTCACCTCTGCAGGTTGCCTGTCATGAGATGGAGCCGCAAAGGCAGGGCCTGGGCGCCTGGAGTCCGGCATGAAAGGAAATAGCGCCTCATCGCTCTTATCTAAGCCCAGAGGTATTTATGAGCGTTTATTCGTCTGATCCATTTGTTTGGGAGAAAGAGCAGACGGGTAGGGCCTGGCCAGAGGCCGCCTGGTTTCTGGAGCCAGATCTCTACGAATTTGTCTGTGGTTCGGTCCACCATCGTCTGTCTGTCTCCAAGGGAGAATATGTAAATACCCAGCAGGCACAGCTGTCTGCCAGTCTGGGGTGTCTCTCCCAGCCTCACTGAGGAAGTGTGTATAGAGAGAGGTGGATATAAATGTGTACCAAGTATTGAGGACATAACAGAAGGATTGCAGAGAAACCCCACAGGCAGAATTTGTAATTGTAATTTTCTGTGCTGTGAATCTGAGCTCCCGTGGACGCGCACGCATTTTCATCTCCCAGGGAAATGTCCAAGTTGTGTTCAGCTCGTGAGCAAAATTCTCCTGTACCGGTAACCTCAGGGAGGGGTTTTTGCCGGGATGTGTATGGAGGTAAGGGGGGATTGAGACACTGTCCAGGCTTCCCATTTCCTCTCAGCTACAAAGCTCCCCCCACCTCCAGCTCACTGGGTTGTGAGGATCTTGCCCCAACCCACTCCCAACTCCGGCTGGGGTGGAGCAAATTAAGACATCTCAACCCAATTCTTCCCCTAGACTGTGTGATGCTCTGAATTTGGGGGACATAAATGTTCCCAGAGGGAGTTCTCAACCTTTGGGAGCTGTTTACAAGGGATATTGCCTTAGAATTGGCCCGTCCGGCACGCGGTACAAAGACCTCATTTCCATTATGCAAATGAACATCCTCTTCTCTGATATGGGGGGGGGGGTGACGCTGGGCTCCCTCCCCTTTCTCCCTAACCAGGTCCATCGGCACCCTAAGAGCCAAAGTGTTTCAACCCCCTGTACAGGCCGCCTTCCCTCCCTACCTGTCCTCCGGACCGCCCCCAAGAAAGAGGGGCCCAAGACTTTTCAGCGGCTGCCCGGGGGGCCTCCGCACTGGGCCGGGCCTTCTGGCCGCCGAAAGTCACTCTTGCTGCCGGAAAGCTGAAAGGAGGCTCCTGTGGTGCAGACACTTGAGGCGCCATCGACCCGGGGAGCGCAGCCGCGGGGTTTGCCCCCCAGCACCGCCGGGCCCCCTCGACCTCGGCCGCTCCTCCAGCTCTGGGCCAGACCCTAGTAACACCTCGGCCTGCCTGGCACCGCAGGCAATTTCCTGGAGCCTCCGCCCAGGAACTGGGGCCACAGCACCTTGAAAGGAGCAGCCAGGGCTTCCTCCTGCGGCTTGAAAGCCCGAGCTAATCAGTAACCCGTGAGACAGGGGCCAATATTCAAACGCGGCAGCAGAGGAGCGTACCCCTGCCCTCGCCACCCCCTTCTGGGAAAGCGATCGGGTTAAGCGGGTGTGAGGGGTCCGGCAGGAACGGAAATCACAGTGGTTTGGTTCCTTAATGGTTGATCCCCACTCCCACTCCCAATTTTTTCCCAAAGCATATTTGTGTCGATTTCGCTTGAAACGATCGAGAATGGGGGAGGGGACCCACACTCACTTGCAGACACCAACAGTTTCCAGAAAATTTCGGCTCAATTCCTTCACCACGGACTCACCGGCCAAACAACTGGCAAGACCCACCAGCCAACCCGGAGAACACAGACCCGGGTTTGTCTTTTGACAGCCGAGTGGAACTGCGGGGGCCGGCGCCTCCCCTGCTGGCCCCCTCCCTTGGCCGAAAAGAAAACCAAATAAACCTTGAACAGCCTTGGCCTCGAATCTCCCAAGCCGCCCGGATGATCCCCTCTCGAGCCTTGGAGGGGTAGGAGGGTGAGGGCTCGCGACTCTGATCCCCCAACCCTTTGGTTCAGGGCCCCCTGCCCGCGGGATGCAGTATTAGTCCTTTTTAAATATGACCTAGAAAAAGCCGTGTTCTCAGCCAGCCGCTGGGTTTGGAGCTGGGATGGGGCGGGCGAGGGGAGGGCACACTTGTTCTCTAATCCACATGCGGACGGGCGGGTACCATGGTCCAGCGGAAAGCGACAATCTGGGCCGACGTCCCCCGAAACCCGCCGAACCTGAGCAGCGGGGGCTCCAGGCGTCGGGCACGGTTCAGGCGGTGTCGCCGGGCTTGCGGCGCCGAAGCCGCATGTCTCCGAACGGACGGTAGATGGCAGCAAACCGCATAATTTGGGTCAGAGCAAACTGTCTAAGGGGTGATTTATACCTCGCCAAGACTACAGGAGAAAAAGACCTTTAGTCTGGATGGGTTTGGGGAAATTTTCCTTTGAGAATAGGCCCCGAGTGCCGTGGGTGCTGACCGAGAACTTCTCTCGCGGCGCAGCCCAGGGGTCCCTGCAGGCACCCAATCAGGGCCTGCTTCCTGGGCATCTACCTGCGCCTCCAGGGGCCGCCTTCCAGCGCCACAAGTGGCCTGCATCCCTCTCTTCCCAGCCCAGGCTCGAGAGGGCCAATATCCCCTTACCCACCCCCATCGCCAGCAATTCCTGGGCCACCACAGGCCCGAGGCTGAACGCTCTGCATCTGGTCTTCAAAAAGAGAAAAGCAATCACCTATTTGTGCAAACCAAACTAAATCGCAGTCTCTCCTGCCCTCCACGCCCAAAGCTGCTTATCTCTCTGCTGGCAGCTTCCCCCAGAAGGCCTCTCACTTGGTTTTTAGGTTCTGACCAGCTTCCCCCTTCTTCCACCCCACCAGCTACTTTAGGAATTTCAGTCTCCCGCCCAGTGCTTCTTCTCCCCCCTCCTCACCCCCAGGAGGCCTGGCTGGAGAATGAAATCAGGCGCCGGAGGGACAGGACTAGCTGTCTGAGCTCAGCGCCAGGCAGCTCTCCAGTCCGGACACCATCAGGTTCCCTAATTGGGTTCTCTTTTTATTTTCTTCTTCCCTCCCTTTGTCCCTCTCTCTCTTTCTTTTGTTTTTGTTTTTGTTTTTGTTTACAAGCTTAAAACACAACAACATGCTCAGCAGCTTCTCCACAATCAACACGTTTGAATCCAGGAAAGTTTGAAATGTTCCCACTTCAGACACACACACATGGCAATTTTCTCCACCGAAATCCACACGCCCATACCAATAAAACACAAGTAATAGAATCAATATTGCACGGAAACCAACACGCTGTAACCTACCGCATTAAAAAACCACAAAATTGTCTCCCTGCAGGGCGAGGCTCCCTCCTGCGGGAGTGGCGAGAGACCTGGGCATTCTCGGGCTGGCTTCCTGGGGGGAGGGGGGTCTCCCTCGAGTTGGGTGCCCTTTAGTTCAGAGACGTCTCCCGAAGGGAGATAATGAGCATTTCTCTGTGAATTGTTCTTTCTCTGTCCCTCTAGCCGCTGCCTCCTCGCCCTCGCGGGCCTCTGCGGAGATTCCAGGCCCTCCAGAGACCAGGACGTCCCTCAGCGCCACCGCCCCTTGTGCCAGTGCCTCCGGGAAACCGCCGACACCCACACAGGGCAAGAGAAGTGCGCCGGGGCAACTGGGGGAGGCCGGAACAGGGAGGGATGGGGGGGGAGGGGGCGCACACCCACCGGGGCCGTAGCAACCGGCTTCTGGGGCGCCCCGCAGCCCAGACACCCCTGTCCTCTCTTTCGCAGGCCCCTGGCTTGAGCCTCTTCTCCCAGCTTAAAAAGGCGACTTAGAGCTCGCCTCCGTGGCCCTTTCGGTTCCTCCTGCTATCTTCCTTGCCCTGGCTCCCCCTCCAGGAAGCAGCCACCTCTCTCTCTCTCTCTCTCTCTTTCTCTCCGCCACCGAATTTCCTGAGAAGCCTCTCCCTGCAGTGCCCAGAGGTGGGGTTCAGCCCCGTCTTGGGGTGGGGGGAGAGGGAGACAAACCTAAGCCCCACCCCCTACAAAATCGGTGCAAAAGAATAAGAAGAGAATTGTAGAATCTCCCTTACCTTTGTAGACCTTGGGATTTCTTTCCTCGGATTGAAAGAGGTGAGGAGGAAGGGGGGGAAAGCGTTCTGTTTCGCCTTCATCTTCCAGATAATATTGTCCCAACCTGAGAGCCGTCGCTTCCCCTTCTCTGACTTGGGAGAGAGGGTGTTTCGCTTTTCTGATATTTGCATAGAAAATGGAGTAAGTTCTGGCTTTGAAAAATGGTATCAGGCTGCAGTCCTGGGCAGATTATCCATTTACCCTCCATGATGACTAAAATCCCAGATCAGCAAGCAAATCAACTTAGAAATTAAAATTATTTTTGGTTCTCTCTTTTGTGTAATTCCCACCCCTCCTTCTCTCTCTCTCTCTCCTTTCCTCTCCCTCTCCCTCTCTCTTCCTCTCTCTCTTTTGCTTTATCGAGCTGATACTGAAGTATAAAAATATCAAGAGGCTGGAGCCCTGAAGGACGACAGTGCTCCGACCTAGGTGTGGTGTCCAAAAGAATGCTGCATTATAACCACCAGGGAAATGATAAAAAGTTCATGTTCACGATCGCCCGGCCACATGACCGGCGCCGGCCAATCGCTGGATTCAACCACTCATAAACTTCTATCACAAAGTTGTAAATTTTCATAAAACAACAAGGAATTTATTGCATTTCTTCATGGCTGCTCCACCAGCAACCCTTTTCTCGGTCGCCATCTTCTTTTCTTCTCCTTCTCGCTATTTGGGGAAACCCCAATCTGAGAAGGGGTGAGATTTGGGGTGCAGGGAATCAGGCGGAGGAGCCACAAGGGTCCATCTGGGAAGGGGATTCTTTCCAGAACCTCCCTATTCTCGCAGGAACTCTGGCCCCCTCTTCTAGTAAGAATTCACCCCAAATCCTCCACACAGGGGCCATTCTAAGGTAGTTTTGGGGTGAGTCGGGAGTAAGAGCGGGTATCCAAAATTGCCACTTGCATCAGGGCAAAATGAAGGCTTCAGTGCCCCCCTGAATGCCCCCCTTGTTTCCAGCCCTCTAGATGGCAGGACCCCCACCTGTGAGGCTTGTAGCATTGCGGGTGTGGGGGCCCTACATCCCCTAGGGCCTCGTTTTTGCCTGGGGAAGAAAGGCGGCCCTGAGAGAGGCCAAGGTGGACAATCTAGCTACCAGATTCTCGCCTCTGCACCCCAGAAATTGGAAGAGGGTGAGGCCAGATCCCTGCCTCTCCCACCCAAATGCCCACATGCCCAGGTTCCCAGTGACAGCTCCACGTGCTCTCCTGGGGGTTCTGCGATCATTAATGGGAGAAACTGCAGGTTCAGGGGACTTCTACTTACAAATTCAAATTAAAGAGATTCTCCTAAAACGCGCTTCCATTCCAACCTGCTTCCCCCTTTCTGTCCCCAAACCTGTTCTTTGCATTTAAATAATCCAAGGTTTATAATCGAATAAATTCTAAAAATCAGCTCCACAGGTCTAGATGCGTAGGGGCCGTCCTCCAGGTTTATGTTCCTCAATCAAGGGGTGTTTTGGAGGGGGAAAAAAAAAAAAACAAAACCCACCACCACCACCACCATCAAACAAAATTCACCCCGTGTTTCCCAGTTTCCCTGAAATACTCCTGTATTTTGAATTGAGCTACCAGCGCCTAAATGCAGGAAACGAAATACCATCCCCCCAAAATTGTTTTCTCTTTTTTCTCTCTGTCTCTGTATTCCGGAGATGATTCCAGGTCGCCGGCAGCGCGGACCGCGGGCAGCAACGCGCGGAGGAAGCCCGCGGAGCTCCCGCGGCCCGCGGCTGGGCTCACAGCGGCTGGGATGCGGCCACACTACCCGGGTAAACTTGCACCGCTCAGGCTCCCGTTCTCAGGGGTCATCCACTCCTCCCTCCACCCATTTAAAAATTCTATTTGGATCGCTGTGTTAATTTAGAATGAGATAAATGGAAGTAAAATAAGTTGAAATAAAATAACCGAATAGGTCTTGCGGAAAATGCTTGCCGAGGGGGCGGAAGCCCGGGAGCGCCCTGGTGCTGGAGGCCTCTTTGGGCTGGCGGGGAGCGTCTGCTCAGCGGCCTGGCTTCTGCCCAACGCCGCCCAAGAAGCGGGAGTGGATTTGGGTGGTCACCTTCCCTTTCCTTCCCCTCTTCCGTCGCGTGGGGCCTAACACTTCGGATTTCAGCTCTGTATTTGTGCCCCAGCTCGGCCACCAAGCCGCAGCCTGGTTTGAAGGCCTGGATGAGGCAGAGTTTGCGGAAGGGTGAGGGTTTTGTTTTGTGAACGGGTGTGACTGAGCGTGTGGGCTCATGGATGTGTTTACTTGGGGGCAAATGTGAATCTGTGTTTATAAGCCAACGTGTGAATGCGCATTGGTATGTATCAATGTCGCTGTGAGTAAGTGTGAATGTGTGTTTACTTGTGAGTGTGTGTGAACGCAGTGTTCCAGGGTAGAGTTGGGATGTGTGAATGCCCGTATGTTTATTTATGGACATATGAATATGGGGTGTTTAGTTGTGACTGTAGGTGACAATGTATAGATTTACTTATGTGTGACGTCAGCCTGTAAATATGTGTGATTTGTGCATTTGGGTATGTCAGTGTGTGTAAAAGAATGTAAAGGGAGGTGCGTGTGTCCTATCGGGGTTCACTTGTTGACAGCCCCCAGAGCCAGGAGCACCAGGAAAAAGAGCAGACCCCAGCACAGAAAGAAATGACTAGCAGCAGAAGTTGGAGCCAAGGGGCTCAGGGATGCATGGCTCACCCTGACCCCCCACCCTCAGCTTTAGGGAAACACAGAAAATAGATCATCTGTTCGTTTTTAAATTGTGTTTTATTTCTCCATCCTTCAGGTACACATACAATGTAAAGAGGCTCACAGGGGCTAGCGGGAGCAAGGAGCAGTCCAGGTGCACAGAGGCGACACTTGAGCTAGTCGGTGGGTCCATGGGGCTCCCTAAGGCCCCTTCAGTCCGCTACTGGGAAGGAGGGGGGCTCAGGAGGACAGGGAACCACACACATTAGTCCAGACCCACAGACCACAAAGACAGCATCAAAGAAAGGGGCTTACAAAACAGCAAGATTTTACAAAGACCTTACAGTAGCGACATAGAAAAGGGGAGGCAGAAAAGCTACAGAACAGGTAGGTGATTTTCTTCCCATATCGTACAAAACAAACCCGCCGGACTTTTCTGTAGGTAGTATTCTTTTTCAGTGTTAAGAAACCAAAATTTCACGTCTCTCCTTAAAAAAATTTTTAAACTGCTTTCCACTACTTAAATAGTTTTCCCCCTCCCTATTTAATTTGAGTTTCCTGGTTCAGTTCTCAGAGCTGGGCTTCCCCCTCTCTCCCTTTCTGGCTCTCTTCCTCTGCCCTTTCTCCGGCTCTCACTCTTCCTCGTCCTCCTCCACCTCGGCCTTGTCCTGGCCTGTGGCCCCAGGGCCCGCGGTCTTGTTCTCCTTTTTCCATTTCATGCGCCGGTTCTGGAACCAGATCTTGATCTGTCTTTCCGTGAGGCAGAGCGCGTGCGCGATCTCGATGCGCCGCCGCCGCGTCAGGTAGCGATTGTAGTGAAACTCCTTCTCCAGCTCTAGGGTCTGGTAGCGGGTGTAGGTCTGGCGGCCTCGCTTTCGGTCAGCCCCTGCGCACAGTATTTAAAGGAGAATAATGAGTGCGCGTGGGAAAAGCCACGAGAGTGCCCATCTCCCTCTCAGACCCTTAGGTTTGGGGTCAGTGGGTGGCAGAGCCCATTTCCCCTCTAAACCAAATTCTTACTTTCCATACCCCAGCGTGTGCCTTCCCTCTTCCCTCAACGTTCCTAGAGGCCTCCTGAGGCAAACGTCCCCATTTGCCACCCAGAAAGTCTTCCAGCCTAGGGCTTCTGAACCCAAGATTTAACCAGCTGGCTTTTGAAGGCCCTGCACCGGAGGGGTGTATGTGGTATAGAAGGAAGGTTAATCTTCCCATCACCCCTGAGACCAGGCACCCTAAGACTCCCCCTTTTGGATACGACTCTGATGGTCTTTAGGGTAAGAGGCAATGGAAACCATGCAAGTGGAGTGGGGCTCTAGGCCTGGCTTGAGTGCTTTTCCCAAAAAGAAAAGGAAACAAAGGAAGCTCACAGACCCAGTCTCTCTCTCTCTCTCTCTCTCTCTCTCTCTC